CTTAACAATTTAACTGTACTGCTCAGTGACCAGACTGCAGGGTGACAGAAGCATCTTCAGGTATCATCTAAATAGCAAATAGAAGACAAGCACGATGTCAGAATTTGAGATTTCAATAGAACAAGAGTTGGCATTTTAGAGTGTACATTTGATTCCTCATTCAACACACAGCAATTAGAAGGAAGGGAGCATTTAAGCATTACTGAGACTTCAAAAATGTGACTTCAGTTTTATTTTGTCTCTTAGAAACCATGGATTTTGATGTCAATTAAGCAAGTAATATGACGACCTGAGTATACACAAGTACATTATTACAATAAAAAAGACACCAAAATAACATAAACGTTTCATTAAATGCTGCATTATGCTAAGTGCAACTAGATCATATTTATTTGGCTTAGTAGATGCTCCACTTACTGCGAGCACCAAAACACAAGGGCTGGTACATGCTTATCAAACCACTGCTTTATGCCTTACTTCTAAGGGCAGGAAAAAAAGTCAGTAGCACAAGTAAGCAAGAAAAAAAAGGAGCCCATACCTTTCTTTTAGGTCTGTTACTTACAGATACCGGTATAAGAATTTAATAATAAATAAAAGATTTAGCAAGAAAATAGGCAAGAACATCCCTTAGTTCACATGTGATCATCCTTCTTATAACACAAATATACTCTACTTCTGCTCCTTCCAGCCCTACCCAACAGAACCCTCATCTGAATTCTAGACAGGTATACCCTTGAAAAAGGCAAACACTCATCCAATGGGAATCACAAACGCTGTTAGAATTCTTCGTATTCATTTGAATATTATAAATGACATACTCTTGAAGAAGAATAAATTATCTCTGATAATTTATTAGTTATGCCTAATTAAAATAAAGAGAACAAAATCAATCCTTTGCACTTTTGAAGTGTCTTCAAAGATGCTACCAGGATGACTCCAGGAAGCTTCTGCTGCATGCAGCGTTTTAGGGCATGTGCAGCTCAACTCAGAATACAGCTTACTTTGGCCTCCAAAACAACACTTTCAGCAGTATCACTGATTTGATGAACATAACTTGAAACAAAGAGTGGCTGACAAATTACTCACCTGGAATTGCATCTATATGACCACCAGCAGAGATCCTGAGGAACACCTTTCAACTCTATTTTGGAGAGCACCAGTACAAGGAAGCATCACTTAGTCTGCAGCACCCAGCATGTTCAGTAAAACATAGACAACCAGAGGATATTTGAAACAAGCCCAACACCGTAACATAAGCACAGTGCCTTGTCATCACTCATCCCACTATCAGGCAGCCATCACACCAAGGTGTAAGGACATCCCCCTAAATACCTTCTGATTTTCACTGACTTCAAGGAGGGAATCTCCATTCCTTTAGTAACTCAGAAGAAACTCTCTTTTCTTGTATCCTTAGGAGGAGGGGGGGAAAAACACACTTTGCTGTTTGGGAATCCATCCAAAATTGTATTCTTAGAGGTTTCACAGAAGTAGGCCAACATTACAGCAATGCTATGAGAAGCCTTTCATTCAAGCTTCCATGCAGCTCACAGACTTTAATTCTGCATCAAGGACATTCTAAGTCACTTCACCTCATCATTCTGTAACTTGCTCTGGTTATTCAGATCCCCAAGTGCCTTGAGATCCTCAAGGACTCAAGGATGAAGACTTTGGCTGCTGAATACGAAGCACAAATATGAGAGGATGTCTGCAACAGTCAAACATTATTTTTGGCCAGCAGTATGGTAAATAATTCTTTCTCAATCTATGCTGCTATTTCTAAGCGCAGTCTGTTCAATTTTTTAGGAAGATTCCCATTTTTAATTAACAAAGGAACAGCTAATAACTATTTAAAAGCTTAAAAAAAAAAAACAACACAAAATACAATGCAAATCCTACCACTTCTCAGTTGCCACTGTACACATTCATGACAAAAACATCACTGCTATGGTCTATTATAAGACCAGAAAGCATGTGATCCTTCCAAGCACACATCATTCTCTACAGAATGAGCCAAGGATTAAGAAGAAGAGGAAGTTTTCACCTGGGAAAGTAAATAATTACCTCTACTGATAAGCCTGCTATCTGCACTTACTGCCTTTCCTACATTTTTCCAAGGAAATTCCTCACTGCCTTTCTTCAAACTGCCATTTTGAGAACAAGAAGAGTAATTTGCTCAGCTGTCTGCCTTCTCCTGATACCACATCTTAACCAACTTAGTAAGTGAGTTCAGTCCACAATGACAATATTTGTGAATAGTAGAGCATAAAGTTTACGTTATTTGAGATCTAAAGTTTAAGCAAAAGTTTGAGAAGGAAAACATTATCTCCTGTCAGCCTCAAACCAATGTGTATAACTGATAACTTCTAACTGATACAACAAAGGTGCTTCTTTTTATAGTAAGAATTTAGTTTCCATAGACTGGGGTGAAACTGTAACTGTTTCACACTCCTCACAAACATCAAGTCAGCACTCCCTTTTTAGCTCTTCGCATTCTGAGCCTTTTAAATTAGCACCATGACTGCTATACGGCTGGTGTATAATAAATACAAGTCCAAATACAGAACTTAGATAAACACTGCTCTGAATCAGGGGATGTCAAGCGGAGCAGCAGACTAAGTCAGATAAGCTAACTCTATCAATACTGAGTTTGCTTCCCCACCTTGCAATTTTCTTTCAAAATAAACTAAAAAAATGGATAGTGGGATTATAAAGATCAGGAAAACTGAACAGCTTTTAACGGTGTTTCTCCTAGAAACAGGAGAATGAAGATGATCCTCAACTTGAAGGAATGGTCAGTAGGCATTATTCCTGAAGCATATGGGTTTGTACAAAGAGTTGTCCAGGTGGAAAACTGCCAAAGAGGTGCTAGGGTAGAAATGTGCACATTTTATATGTATCTTAGATACATCTTTAAACTCTTTTAGTCTTTCTGAGGCCAGGATCCAAGACACGAGATCTGTGGGTATTTCTAAGAGTCAGAGGTGCTATTCAAAGTCATGCAATTGCAATATCGTGCTGCAAAAATAAACACATACACAGAGCAGCCATACTAATGGATGTTCAGAATCATCGGGGACACTGTGCAGTGATAGAACTGGCTCCAGTTCTTCTGGTTGAGAAGAATGAAATGGTTGCTCCAGCAGAAACTGGCATCTGGCTGAGGGCAGCTGAGATTACAGCTAATGCAGTATATAATTGCCTTTCATTAAATAACAAAACACCATCCATCCGAGGCATTTCTAAACATGCCAGTCCAATAAGGATTCCAGCATGTTACTTTTTAGACGTGCCAGCAGAGCCAGTAGTCCCTAAGGAATGCCAACAGATCAAACAAGAGCTGCATTCACACATGGTCACCATGTTCAAACATCAGAAAACTCGCATTTAACATACAGAGTTAACATCTGACCCGAATGTTTTAGAGAGAGAAAGAAAAGCAGTTCTGAAAAACTACGCTGGCAAGACAGATAGCTATTTCTTTAGAGAGAAGCTCTGTTTTGAAATATTCACAGTCACTCCTCCAAAACAACTTCAGCAGGGCTGAAAGAATAAACAAAGGAACACTGTGGGAATTATCCAAGCTAAGTAAATAAAAGCTGTCCTGGGTACTCGCATTCAGAAGATGATAACAGATAGGAAATACACAGGAGCTCAGGAAAGCCACAGTAACCAGCACACGGACACTGCTCTTTCTTACAGTATTTTCATGGAAGGAAAGAGATGATTTCCTACAGGACACCTCTGCGATGTTGACACAAAGCACACTAGAAAGCTGAAAAGCTCTCCTTAAAAGAAACCATACAAATAAATTACGTAAACCTACTTCAATCTCCCTCCCTACGGACACAGACGCTTCAGGTCACATTTCTCAGGTTTTCGGCCTCAGCCAACACAGCCCTGTCCCTTCATCACACTTCAGCACATGCAGGAAATCTGTTGCGGGTGGGAAGAGAACCCGACACACCGCGACTTCAAACCCAGCCAAACCTCCGCCCGCTCCCCTGTCATTCCGCATTCCGTACGCGATGAAGGACTTCTGTCAGCACCTGAACAGTTCTGCGCTCCTCAGAACAAAACACTCTGCAGTAAAACATTGGGGAAAAGCAGCTCACCTTTCCTCCCCTGCCTGCCATTTGCCACGGTGTCTCGCACAGCAGCAGGTGCGCTGCCACAGGCCCCAGGAGCACGGCTGTGACGCTGCCACGCGTCCCGCTGCGCTTCGAACTCGTCCTTGCACAGCAGGAGGCACAAAGCTCCTTCCTTTCCCGCATTTCTTCCCTCTCCCTACACGCTCGCAGGCTGGGAGCCCAGCGATGTGAAGCAGCTCCGAACTTCCCCAACTCCCCACCAGACGCTGCGTGCGTTCTGCCTGACTGAGCGCGGGGGGGGGGGGGGAGGGAGGAACTTCACTTTACAGTCATATTTCTAAGCGTGACACAAACCCAGACCAAATATTCCGCCTCGTGCTATTCCAGAGGAGGTACGCACAGAGACTTTCGGCCTTTTTTTAACGATTATTCTTAAGGCGAGGAGGTCGCAAGGAACGCAAAAGGCGGCGGGCACGGGGCAGGTGAGGCGCGCAGCCACCCGCGGCGCCGCGCCGAGGCGCTGCCGGCCGTGACACAGCGGGAAGCAGACGGGGCACGGCCACACGTCCCACCGCCCGCAGAGCCGTGAGCCCGAGCGCCGCCGGCCCCGCGAGGGCCGCGGAGGAGCGGGGTGAGCCCGGCAAGCCCCGGCACACAGCCCGGGAACCGGCCGAACCGGCCGCCGCCGCCCGCGGCCCTGCCAGGGGAGCGCCGGGCACGTGCGGACGGGGCTCGCGGCAGCCGCAGCCCACGGCCGCTTCACGCCGTCCCCTCGCCGCCTCGCGGACCTTCCCCCCTCCTCCCTCAGCGCGGCGCGGGCCCGAAGCGGAGGCCCCGAGGCGCGCCCCCCTCCCGTCCCCTCAGGCGCGGCCGCCGCCGCCCTCCGCACGCGGGCCCCAACGGCGGCCTCACCGCTGCCTCCGCGCCGCCGCCTCCGCTTCCCCTCCGCCGCCTCCTCTGCCCCTCTGCGGCGCCGCTCCCGGCTCAGCTCGGCGGGCGGGAGGCGGGGCGGGGCGGGCGGACAACGTCTGCCGGGCCCGAGGCTCCGCGAGGCGGGGACTGCAGCAGCAGCGGGAACCGCTCCCCCTGCCGCGCTCCGGCGCCGCTTTTCCCCTCCTCTCTCGGTCCCCGTCCTCTCCTCCCGCCGCCTTTGTCTCTGCCCCCGCTTTGTTCGCCCCGGGGCAGTGCCCTTCCCTTGGGGCAGAGAGTCGATGGACGAGGGGAGGAAAAAGGGTGGGGAGAGCAGACGCGATCCCTCGGCTTCACACAGCTCTATGGACGAGCAACTTCAACGTGTGCCGCTTTTCTCCATTTTCCTTTTGTCCTCAGGCCCAGAAGTGTTATAATTCCTGTTATAATGCCTTCTCTCTCTCCGTCTGAGTCGGCACTGTGCTTGTGGAACACCGTTCTCCCGTTGGTGATGCTGAAATGGCTGAGGAGCGGCTCCACCCCATCGGCAAGGATTTAATAGCAGTTCTCGAGGCTGAATCAAAGAGCTCTGCTCCACTTCCCTGCTCTCGCACACAGCGTTGGCTCTGCTGAATTCATCACAAAGCAAACCTGTTCCAGTCCCGTACGTTTGGTTCTTGTGCGATCCTGTTTAAACAAAAGGGTGATGAGAAAGCAATTCCAGCACTGGAGCCCAATTGCAGTTTGTGATTCAACGTGGCATCATTCTCTGGCATTCATCCAGCATGGTAAAGCACAAAACGGTGTGACGCAGGGCCCAGAATAATAGCTTGCAACTAGACCAGCATTTAGCAATGTGTGTTGGTATTTCACTTCCTAAGTGTTAAGTGGAAGCTCTTACTGTGGCCATTAGATGTTGAAACTGATACTTAAAACCCCTGCACAGAGCCACTCTTCTTCCCCTCTGCAAAATTTGTTAAAAGTTCCACTGAACAAGAAACTTCAAGATTTAAATATGAGATTGTATTTAGAAGCACAGAGCCAGCAATTTACTGCTTACAGCAAGGAACAGACCCTACAGCCCCTAGCTATGGGAATAAACCCTTAACACATACAATGTAATTCAGTTTAAAACTGAAAAAATAACTTTACAGAACGCTTGTACAAAATACCTATTGTCCTCTCAAGCTCTCAGCCACAGTTGAGGATCTTTGCACTTGTGTTCTGGTATCACAGATTTGAGCTCTCTGTATTGATGTGATGTTTTCCATCATCCTTTGTTAATTTGGTTTTTGTTTCAGATAATTTAATACCAGGTAAGTAGATTTCAGGAGTGCAATGCAGTGTAATGCACAACATTTTGTTAAGCAATACTAGACAGCTGTAATTAGTATAAAGCACAGCAACTAGAAGTCAATTTACTATCAAAGATAGAAAACTAAGGTGCAGCTTTGTGCTGCCCTTTCAGAACTTTATTGAAGTACAAGCAGAATGTAACAACAATGCTAAAATTATGAATGAAATACGTTTCAAACATGTAAGTATCTTTCTTCACCTCCTGGGAAAACTAAAGCTAAAAAAGGTCCCATTTCTACAGCAGGAACTTAGAATCAAGTTGCACAGGTCAAAAGTTTCTATCTATAAATTGAACATACCATAGTCAGTGAGACATATTCAAGTATGAAGATTTTGAGTACAGGACTTTCTTCTTCCTCTGAATGATCTCTTCACCATTTACATTTGGCAATTCCTACACTGAAACCTAGTTCACACCTTTTTTCTCTGCAGCACTTTGACTGATGTATTCATGTAGTTTTATCCCTAAGAAGCGAGATCTAAAAAATTGTTGCAGACTAGGAATTATTTTCACAGCTTAATGGGCTGAAAGGCTACAAAATTGTTTTTATTCCCAACATACTTACCGCTTTCCTTTCCTAGGATAGCAGTCACAAAAAAGCCGTGCAAGTCTATGTTCTTTGTTGGTGTTCTACACAGGACAAATATGCATCCAGTTCCAGTTCTACATTATTTGTTTTACCCATGTTTGGTAGAACAACAGAAAACAGTATTTTAAGAACTTTTTCTGCATGCTTATCCAAGGTCCTTAAGTTGATTTGACAACAGTAAGAGTCACCTCGACTATAAATGTTTCGTTTTACAGATAATTTGAGAAACCATTTCCTATTAAAGAAGATACCACATACATTAAGAACAAAAGATGAAGCAAATCAGAAAGTTTTATCCCTATTGAGAGTGCAGAGTTTCTAAACAAAGGGTGAATCAACTTCTGTTCAGTCACTGGATGACAGATAAATATTACGTTGCGAAAACCTTCTATCTGCTGCTAATAGCTAAGTAAACTTTAGGAAGTGTCAATTGTCACTTACAATATTAATTACCATATTATTAAATTCATCCTGTTTGTACCCTTCTTCAAGGACTGAGACTAATTCCTCATTTGTCCTCTCCCACCACTTTAAATATGACTTTCAGAGCTACAATATGTTCTTAAAAAGAACAGCAAGATTCAGTGGCATTTAATTACCAGAAGCAATACAACTGTGGTACAAAATGAGGATACTACAGACTTCCATAGCAATTACAAATACTTGTGAGAAAAATATAGTAGAGCTTTTTCATCCTCTTATTTTTTCAGCTATCCTGCCTTTCTGAGCGTGCAGCAAACAATTTTTCTTAGCACCTACCATGTCTTTCAGTTATCTTCTAGATTCTCAGCCACTGCTCTTTTGATGACATTTTAAGCACTATCAATTAGATTATAAAAATATAAGTTAGAAATGTAAACCTCCTTAAGATGCTAACCACAGAATTTTGCAGAGATTCTTCCCCCCCCCCCCCCAATGTAAATTAGCATTTCTGAATACTTTTGCTGTTCCCAATCCTGTAAGCAAACATGAGCATCATGCCAGCAGGAATCTGTGGGAAAATTTGAATGGTGACTGCTCACACAATACCCACCCCATTACAAATTTTATTATTCATTTTAGTAAGCTCTAATCTAGGCTATTACGCCACACCAATCACCATGGGAACCTGACTTACAAATTCCAGAAATGCTTTTGCTGTTCAGCTTCCCTCAGATCTTGTAGTGTCATCTGACTGCAGTTTCAATATACAAAAGTAATTTGAATAGTTATATTCGGCAGAGTAAAGAAATCCAATAAATGCAAATATTTTTAGTGCAGAGACAGTGTATAGTACTTGATAAGAACAGGGAAAGCATGGATGAATACTATGATGAGATTGAGATCAAGATGACCTCATTCCTTATTATGAGAGAAATCACGGAGATAACTGCATGTCTTCTAGCAGAGGTAGATACAGTAGGGGTTTTATGCATTGGTTCTGCTTGATTTTCTCAGAGCATTATCCATTCTAACCACAACATCCCCAGGAAGGAGGATTTTAAAGATAGCTATGAGTACTTAGTATTTCATATTGTCACCTTTATTTAAGAACAGTGACTACATGAGTTAAAAAGAGAAATTAGATAGATCCTGCTACAGGATGTTCACTTTTCTGAGACCAAATATAAGCATTTCAACAGTTCTCTTATAAAAGTTCCTATTTCTTTTCCTTAAAATAAGTTTTACAATTTGAAAGGCAAAGGAAGTAAAATGAGAAAGGGCATTCTATTTCCAACCATGTTTTGCTTTACCAGCTTAGTAAAGAAATTTTTAGGCTAAAAGTTTTTATTTTAATATATGGGTTATAGAAATTATTACAGAAAAAGGGTTTAGATTTTGGCTGCCTTAGATTTGAAACAAAACTAAACATCTACGGATATCTTTTTAAAATCAGATAGAATAGGAAAAAAATGGAAGAAAAGCTCTCAATAATATGATACAGGTGGCCTAGGTCAGCAATAGTTCATGCTCTAAACCATAACAGGATTAAGGGATAGTCTCTAAACACCAAGATACAGACAGGCCAAATGCCAGGCAAAGCCAGGTAACCCAAACACTTTCCATTCACTAGCTCTGTGCAGCTCCCCACTCAGCATTTCATTAGTTCCCAGCGAGCCATCTATTCAACTGTCTGCTTTTGTCTAATTAATGACCAACTAACTCATCTCACAGGTGTTGACTACATAGGAAAACATTCACACCACCTATTTATCAATTATATTGATCTAATTAGAAAAGAAGCAGCATTGGTATCAAATGACTTACCACCTTAAACATATTTGAGTGACAGTCCTGGTGTTTGTTATCCCTAACAGGAAGGAGTCTAGGCACCTGCTATCACCAGTTTGGGTTAGAAAAATAAAGAAGGCACAAAGCATCATAGAAAATAATTCCAAACACACAAACAGCTTGCAAAAATCTGTTTTCCAATACTTTAAAATACAAACAAAACCAAACCACACACAGTGAATCTAAAGAAACAAACAGATGAGAACTAAATTAAATGGGAATATCCGAATTCCCAACTATAGGAACTAAAATTCAGATGTATATGCTGTCTGTATATTTCCAATTGTATCAGGCTGCATGTGGAGAACACAAACATTTGCTGACTTGAACAACCAGTCAATCCAGTCACCTTGCACAAAAATTCTAATGGATATGTTGCCCCAAACACAGAGCATCCCTGCCCCCAAGCCTCCCAAAAACACCTGCTTTAGAAACCAGGAGATAAAATCTTCCCATATTGAAAAAGACCTCTATCCCCAAGCAGTTTTTGTCCAACAATTACAAGAGTCCCCAGAGCAAAGTTCCATGCCTTACAAAATTAAGAATTTAACATATTTAAGCCAGTATTTAGCATTGCATTTAAAGCTTGATTGTGGACATGTCTTCACTTTATTCTTATTCCTATTTTTTTTCAACATAAATCTCGGAAGCAATGAATTAACAACTAGTTTAGTAAGTCTGATAACTTGTAGAAACATCTAAGACTTATCTATTCCAATCAGTTAAAAGGAAGGGCAATTTATTATGAATTTATTGTGAACATGCAGAGCTAAGTATAGCACTAGAGAGTACTAAGTATGTAATATCAAATGATTTTAATATTGTGTCTGCAAGCAAAGCATAAGCATACAAGTATGCCAGTAAAGTCTGTATGCCCTACTAAAGAAGGAATATTTCATAAGGGCTACTAAAAAAAAAAACTAAGGCGTGGAGAGAGAACAGCATGTTCAAGTTATGAGCACCTCAACACACCCAAAAGGTGTATACACTTGAAATGATTACATCACACTGTCATCCGCATGCGAATGATGCACTGCATGTAATAGCTTGGGTAAATGGTGATGACTAGCTTTTAACTTAATGGGAGGAAGAAGCATGGAGGAAGCACAAAATGTCTAGGTTATTTCCATTAGAGTTTTCTTTGTCAAGTGCATAGGAACGGGAAGTCCCTGGCTTGAAAGCATTACTCTTACTTTTTCCTAGAAAAGATTAGCTAGAAAAAGCTTATTGTTACAGTTCATATGATGAACGTTTACTTGGAGCTCTATGTCCCACATGTGAACAGATAAACTGAAGCGATCCATGCTGCAAATAGAGCCTCTTCAGCCTCTCCGAAGTCATGCCATTCACATGTAAAGACTCTTTGGTTTTCCATTCCTGTAAAGTTTAGAGCAATAAAAGGAAAAAAATATAAGCACTCAATCTGAAAAAAACTTGTTTTTCTAAAGCATTCGAATGCAGAGTACACTAATTCTGCACATTATAAGAATCTTTGGGAAATATCTACAATCTGTAAAGCTGAAGTTGTTGAAGAACAGGTTCAGTTTCTGAAGTTATCAAATACAACCTTAGACATCCCATTTAATGAAAAAACTATGAAGCAACCTTAGACTGAAGTGTTTTCTTCAGTACTTAAAAATCCTTTATTTTACTGCGCATCTCACGTGGTAGAAACACTTTTTTTCCTGCATTTAAGGACAAACAAATGCTTTACCAGCTTTAAAGAACACTGGTTAAACCAAACCAGTACTCCCTCTGCTGGCAACGCAGATGTGTAGTCGTCCCACTTACCAGTCACTTTGAAGAGAGGTGAGAGGAGGGGGAAAAAAACCAAAAGCATTAGAACAGTTAGTTAGCAGAATTGTAACATTACTAAGCTTTGGCCTTTCAAAAATGAGCAGTTCTTTAGATAATGAAAATTGAGTGTCATGGGCAGGTTCTATTTAAGTAGCTGAAGTAATTTTAACATCTTAATTATAAAAACATGACCCCAATTGTTATGACCTTTCCTAAAATAATCAACTCGCTTCACCCTCATTTTAATCATCTTGTTTTTCCTAATTATCCTCAGCAGCTAATTTCAGGAAATCAGCAGTCTAATGGCTTAGGACTCCAATTAAAAAAAAATATTTAGAAAAACTCATTTATTAAACCTCTGTACATAAAAATGAACATGTATGTACAGCAAGTTTACATGAAGAAGGATGTTACAAAAGATACAGTGGTAATTAAAACTGACCCACATAAATAAAATTTTATAAAAATACTTGAAGTGGTGAAGATAATGCTGGTAATCCCCAATCATTTTCATCCAATTTCCAAGACTTTGACATGAGAAGCCTTAACTCTCGATCTTTTAAAAAACATTATGAATATATTAAACTTATCTACAGGATAATTAGCAAAATCTATAAAGTATCCATTATTGTACAAAGGATATTAAAAAAAAATATCACCAATCCACCTGAAATTTAAGGACAACACAACTCTTAACCAAAGTAATGAACAATAAGACAAGTCTCTTTTTAGAGCGAAGAACAATTTACTTGCCAATGCAAATCAACAGTCCCATTACTCTTTGGGAAGTCTCATTACTCTAGTGGAAGAATGCAATTTGGGAAAATTCTTCTGTGTTTTCTGGCTGGATTGGTTCTGGTCAAGGTGGAAGCCCTGCATTGACTTCAGTTTTGAGGAAGAACAAGGGCAGAGCCGTAATCTTCAGAGATTTTCTCCTTCCTACAAAAGGATGAGGAAGGTTATGAGTTTGTAAAACTGAAGGAGAGAAGGGTGCAGGAATTTGAACATAAAGAAACAAAGGAAGACCAGTTAAAAGTCAAGTCTTTTTCTTTTGCTGGTTTCTTGGGGAATTCTTCAGCACGCTTCTTATTCGAAGGTAAGTGCCCGTTGATTCTGTCATATTTTCAAATTCAAAAGGTGCTATTCCTACAGCAAACTTGCTCATATCAGGAACAGGATTTGAGTTCTTTGCAGATGACTCAGTGCTTATCACCACTTTATTATCAACTGTACTTTCTCTATCGTTAACCTCATGATTGGGAGCAGGTACGGTGTTATCAAGGAGGCCTTCAGAATCTGAATTATCAGGATTTTCCTTTAAATTAAGTGAACTATTATCTGGATTAGGACTAGTTAAAGGATGTTCATTTTCTGGTACCTGTTCACTGATATTGGAAAACTTAGTTTCCAATGTTACCATCTTATCAGATGATCTCACTTCTGCAACCAGATCTACTTCGTTCCTGGATGGTGATGATGTAACAGAATTTCCAGTTAAAGGTGTATCAACAGGGATATCAGAGTCACTGTTTGTGCTTTCTGCTTGCTCTAATGCTGCCCAAATTAATCGCTGCTGCTCCTCCAGTTCTTCCAAGGTCAAAGTATCCTCATCCATGGTTGAGTCCACTATTTTTGGCTGAGAAACATCACAGGAAGGATTCAATGATGGAACAGTGTTAGGAAGAGGAGGATGGGTGGGTGTTGAAGGTTGAGTTGGTGTAAGACTTTGTGGAGTAAGTGGAGGTGTGCCTTGTGGTAAAGGAGGAGGAGTTGAAATCACTGGAGGTCCAGGTGGCAGTGGAGGTTGGAACTGAAAACTGTTAGTTGTTTGAGATCTTTGTGACACTTCCACATCTAGAAACAGATAACAGGCTTCTATTAGAATCTGAAGTCTGACTACGACAACATTCATTGCCAATGCTTTAGGAGATTAACTGTCAGATATATGTCTCCTCATGCCTGGTTTTCAGCTGAGATAGAACAAGCTTTCTTAAAGTTTCAACATCCACTGAAATTACCTGTTTGGGGATTTTCACTCTCCTGGCCATTTAATGAAAAAACGATGAAGCAAACAAATAAATCTCTTGAATGTACTGAACAGACTTTTCTTCCAGACTTAGACAAACTAAGGTACCCTCTCTTATAAGAAATCCAAAAGCAAAGATACAAGCTTCTCCATCTATTCTAACATTAAAACAACACCAAGATTCCCTGTTAGTTTGACTCATGTTTAAAGAAGCTGTGAGTTTGTAACATCCTAAAGTATTTAATCCAAGTATTTTAGGATTTGGAGGTCTTTGTAACAGAATTTTCTTTAAGATACATCTAAAGTAAAGAGACTGGAATGGATAACCCAGCATTCCAATTTACCTTGAGCACATCTGAAACTTCTTGCTTACCTTAAGCATTACCATAGCAAATACTAAAGCACTGGTTTCTCTTTGTCTACACTAACATTTCAATCCAGAGAAGTTACTTCGGAAATAAAAATTGAAACTAGGGAAAAAAAATGAAAAGCAGAATAGCTATACCAGAATCTATGTCCATGTCAGCTACTGCTACCTCCAAGTTGTCTTTTGGTCGTTTTGAATGATGAGAGCTTGGCTGTGGTGCAGTCCTCTTATTGCTAGATTTCGAACTTGGCTGAAAGGAAGTCAACCAGGAAAACAAAATAAGTTAGAATTAGATTATTTAATGTAACATTTCCAGCTTTAAGAACACATGTAAAACAATTTTGTAATTATACAGTTATTTGATGACCGAGTTTGTAAATTTAAGTTTGAGACATTTAATGTAACTGAACAGAACTGTAGTTTGGTTAGGTTGAAGTGGCAAAGGAGCACTATTAAACAGTGGAGACTGAGTGCAGAACATCTATCTTCCCCTCTTTAATGGAAATATTCTACATCGGACAATACTAGGTGAGAGTCAGAGAAGAACTGGGAATCATACACAATGGTGTTTTCTCAAGTCACTGTATTAAGATTACTGTAAATCATGTCTAGAGCAAGTAAGTTTTTCACTCATTAGGGAAGTCTGGAAACAAGATCGGTTTTAGGCTGAAGAATTTATAGATACCTTTTCTTCTAAACATGAAACTTTTCCGTTAGAACAGGTAAGCCAAGTTACAGACTACCTTACTGGTTCACTGGACTGAAAAAAATCACTACAGAGTTAACTGCTTACTGTAAAACTAATAAAAGCATCAGGACTTCAGAACTGGTAGTGTCAATGAGATGGTCTAAATGAAGACATAAACAAGAGACCATTGTCTCCACTAACTACATGACAACTTTTCTTTTCTGAGAGTAAAACTGAGATATATTCACCGCATGAAAATTAGAAAGGTAGTGAGCAAAAACATCCTTCTGTTGAGATGGCTGCATGGGAATGGAACCAAATATCTGCCATTCCTACAACAAAAAAAAAAGAGAGAGAAAATGCTGAACATTGTGTATGTTTGGCTTAATAATACAACAGTAGAACTAAAGAGAAATGCTGAGAGATTAACAAGCAAGATGAATTCATCCTCTCATCAGAAACCTTATTTATCAGAGGTAAATAGATCTTAAGTAGGAACTTAGGAAGGCAAACCAAAAGTACTGCAAGCTGTGAATACAAAGAACTAATGGAATGTACTATTATTATTATTATTTGGTAATTTCTTATTATTGTTATTACTTGATAGTACTCGTAATAATAAAAAAGCTTCACAAGAACATGCAGAAAATGCAGATGGGCAGAAAGAACAGGCACTCCTATGTAACATTTTGTGTCTTTAAAGGAAACCCAATTAACCTAGACTCCTGTTGGCCTTATAATGGAAATAAACACCACAGAAGCACTGTCAGACCCTGCCCAGATATATCAGATGTCACCTGAACAGCCCCCACCTCCAAAGCAAGCACTTAAATAGGCTGTTGAAAGAAAACCGCCAGATGGATGATGCAGAACATTAAACTTGGCTAACAGCAATAAGCATTACTTAACAGGCTGTTCAGAAAGCAGAGACAGCCACTTACATCTGGGATCCCACTCGGAGTGGAGATATTAAAGCCTGGATAGTTAATCAACTTAGAGACATCGTAAGTGACATGTTTTGGTGGAAGATATCCTTCATCTTCTGTTTCATTATCATCTATAAATAAAAAACATAATTATTACCTATGCTAATTAATGTTACTGAATAAATCCACAGGATTACGAACATAATTTTGGTTTCTGGAATATAAGTATTGATAGATGGCAACAGCAGCGCCCAGATCTAACACACACATACCTTTACCATCATAAAGCGCAAGTCCCGAGTGCTCCATTTCAGCCTCTTTGAGCCAACCTGGAGGATAACCAAGCTGGCGCATGCGATATATAAATGGGGGAAGGCTCTTAGCTGTGACACCAAGCGCATCCTGAAGTTCCCCACTGAGTTGAGAAAACAAGAAGTCCATAACTGAGGTTTTTTTAAAGGAAGTCATTAACACGCTGTTGCATTTTAAATGATCAAGCTAAAATAATTTAGCTCAAACCATGTTGCTAATCAATTCCAGAAATAACAAATTTAGGGCAAAACCAACTCTGATACTAAAGAAAATCTGTAACATATTTCTCCACACAAATGTACATATGGTTAGACATTCTATGGGAATTCTACTCTGAGAACAACTCACTCCATGACTTGTTACTTCTTGTTCGTGCCCTTAACTGTAGCTATCAGGACAGGAAGGATGGAACTTAACAAAACAGAAAATTTACTGATGATTTCTGTAGAGACTGATACCATCATATTACAATTTTTAAAATATATTTGGAATAGAGAGAAGACATCAAGGAACGCTCCAAGCTCAATATTTTCAGATTCCTGCATGCATTTTAGTTTATCAGGAACCGAACGTACTTCCAGTTCTCCCTGTGAAAGGAATCTGAAAAGCAACAGAATGAAATAGTTCTCCCTACGTTAAGGAAAGGGTCATGGGGAAAGGCAATGAGATGTGGTTTGAAAAACGCTCAATTTATTAAAATTTGGCAAACAAATTCAAGCATAATACACCCATAATTAAGAGTAGCAGATAGACTTATAAGATTTTGGATAGCAACACCTGGCATTTCAAAGGCAGAAAAGTCATTCCAGAAAAACATTGCAACAGCTAATGAAAGGAAAAGAGATACCTAATCACTCCTGGTTTAAATTTTCCAAACCTCTCTTCTACTTCCTCTGCATGATAACGCTGCTGAAAATTCTGATTGCTTGCTT